GCTCCATTGCTTTCCACCTTTAGAAAAAATATTTTTATTAATGTGCACGTATCTGTATGTGTCTAAGTGCAAAGATAGCTGAGGGTTCCTGAGGAGAGAAGAATGTATTGCAGCCCCTGGAGCTCTAGTTACAGGGGGTTGTAAGCCACCTAACCTGAGTACTGGAACAGGTACTGGAACAGAATTCCATTCCTATGTAAGAGCAGCAAGAGCTCCTAACCACTTAGCTGTCTCTGCAGGTCCTGACTTATCTTTTTTACATTTTATCTATTGTGTGCATGTGTGGCTGGCACAGGACATGTGTGGAGGTCAGAGGAAAACCAGTGAAGTTAGTTCTCTCCTTCTACCATGTGAATTCCAGGGATGGAACACTAGTATTTAGGTCTGGCAGCAGGTGCCTTTACCAGCTAAGCCATCTTGCCAACCCCAGTTTGTCTGTTTATTTGAGTCAGTCTTTCCCTGAACCTGGAGCTCAATGACAGGCTGGAATGGCTGGTTGGGAGCACTAGGGATCCTCCTCTCTCTGCCTCCTAGCACTGGGGTCACAGGAGAGGCCAGGGCTGCCAGCCAACTTTCTATGTAAGTGCCAGGGATTCAAACTCATGCCCTCCTGATTACATGAAAAGTATGTTACTCACTGAGCCAGCTCCCCAGCACCCCCAACTCCGTCTGTCCTTTGTATTTACACTGTTATTCTAGAATATAACTGTTTTTGAAATTTATATTAACCTTTTTGCGGGAACATGAGCTGCACCATTCTTGACATATATGAAAGAAAATTATCTGCGTTTTTCATTCCTGTATTGCCTTTTTTGTGCCTTTATTCTGATATTTTACTTCACTTTCTTTCTTGTCAATCATCGTGCTACATATTCACCGAGATGATTACACACACCATTCACTAGGTCTAGTGTTTTTATACTGTATGTTAATGTCTGGTTTTATATGTATCATTTATTTCTATCTTGTACATTATTTTTAAAATCTAAATGGTGTAATTCTCACTCAGACCCCATTTTTAGCTAAAACCAGAATTCCACATGTCTGAATATACAGTGTATTTTCTATGCAGCAACTGTGTAATTTGTTTGGAACTAGTTCTTTTTCTTCATCTGTCTAGTACACCACTAGCCAAAACTTTATTTGTAGCCACCTCCTCAAATTATTCATGTTTGGGTCCTTTGTTGAGCACTGCATTGAAGCATATTTTCTTTGGAGTCAACTGAAGTCTCAAGACTTATTCTCTTTGTTATGACTAACATTTTGGTCTCAACCTTATATCATATTTATTTTTCTGAGATGCGTATTCTTTGTTTTTTGGTTAAAAAAAAATTCTCGTTACTCAGGAAGGATTCTTATTTTTGCTCTAGTGATTACCTTTGTGTTTAAATCTTAATCAAATTTTTCATCCTGTTTTTATTTACTCTGGTTCATTTTTTTCTTCCTTTCTTTTTTGAGACAAGGTCTTACTCTGTCGTTCTGGCTGGCCTAGAATTCGATGTGTAGACCAGGGAAGTCTCCCAGGGTCTGTGACATCATATTGTGCATATTTTTTATAAATGAAATCACATAATCAGTGACCTTTTGTGTCTCTTTTCTTTGACTTGGCATGTACTTTCAAGGTGCATCCATTCTGTACCAGTTACCAACGGCTCACTCTGTTTAAGGTAGAATACTACTATTTCCTCGTATGGACATTAGACATTAGGGTTATCAATCTATTCAGGTCAAGGACATTCAGGGTATCTCTACTTTTTTGAGATCATGAATAATGTGTACATTAGTGTACAAGATCTTATGTAGGTATGTTTTGTAGTTATCTCAGGTGTGTGTGTGTGTGTTAGAGTGGAAATAATGAATAACATGGTAACTCCATTTTTTTTTTGTCTTTTTGAGACAGGGTTTCCCTGTAGCCCCAGCTGTCCTGGAGACCAGGCTGGCCTTGAACTCACAGAGATCCACCTGCCTCTGCCTCCCGAGTGCTGGGACTACAGGCGTCGGTGTGCGCCACAACGCCCGGCTGGTAATTCCATTTTTAATGGTTTGAGTAACTGCCAAGTTAATTTTCTAAACTGACTAAGGCATCCAACACATGTACAAAAGCTTCAATTTCTTGCCGGGTGTGGTAGCGCACACCTGTAGTCCCAGCACTTGGGAGGCAGAGGCAGGCGGATCTCTGTGAGTTCAAGGCCAGCCTGGTCTACATAGTGAGTTCCAGGACAGCTCCGGCTACAGGGAGACCCTGTCTCAATAAGACCAAAAAAAAAAAAAAAAGCTTCAATTTCTCTAGATGCGTTCCAATACCAATGAGTGTCTATAACCGTCTAACCTATGCTTGAAGTTTGGACTGTAGTTTGGACTGTGTCTTCCAAAGTCATGCTGTGGGAATGCTGTGGGAGCAGTTTGTATGCAGACCTTTTTATCTTGCATATAGTTAGTTCTGCATTATTAGGAAAAAGTGGTCTGACATTGAGAAAATATTGGGAGACAGGCTGCTAAGTGTCCATTCTTGGTCTTTTGTTATGTGGAAGTAGCTAAATTTAAAAGCAAAAACAACAAACACCCAATAAAATCATGTCACAGGGGGCTGGAGAGATGGCTCAGTGGTTAAGAACACTGGCTGTTCTTGCAGAAGACCTGGATTCAAATCCCAGTACCCACATGGCCGCTAACAACTGTCCGTAAATCCAGTTCCAGGGGATCTGATGGCTTCTTCTGTCCTCCATGGGCACTGCACGACATGACATGAGTGCACTTGCAGTGTACATGCAGGCATTACACGCATACACATAAAATAAAAATTTTTTAAAAATCATTGTCAAGCCAGGCGTGGTGGCGCACGCCTTTAATCCCAGCACTTGGGAAGCAGAGGCAGGTGGATCCTCTGTGAGTTCGAGGCCAGCTTGGTCTACAGAGTGAGTTCCAGGCAACTGGAGCTACAGGGAGGCCCTGTCTAAAAAAGACCAAAAAAAAAAAAAAATAAAATAATAATAATAATCATGTCACAGGCAAGAATGCAAAACAAAAGTTGCTAATGAAAACAAAATAATCCTTCTAACGATAATGAAATCCAACTTCAGACAGGAAGTTAAAGGACATGTTAAACAGACAGTCTCTCAAAAATAGTTATCTTGTGTTTTGCTTTACTACTGAGACAGGATTTGGCATGTGCCACCACTCTCTAACTAGATATATTTTTTTTTATGTTACAGGTACACAATTCTTACACAATTTTTATTTACTGAAAAACATTTTTACAGTATTACTGTGTGTTTATGTGTATATAGTATATGTAAGTGTCACAACATATGTGGAGTTCAGAGAACAACCTGAAGAGTTGGTTCTCTCCTTCCACCATGTGGGTTCTTGGGATCAAACTTAGATCACCAGGCTTGGGAGTCTTTGATCTGCTGAGCCATTTCACAAGTCCAATTCTTAAACAAGTTTGTGTGTAAATTAACAGCTATATGATAATGCAAGTTAACAAATTCAAACTCTTAGTAAAAGGAAGTGGTAAAAAGGCCAATATAAACTCTAGGTTTTTAACATAGCTATGAAGAAATCATGGTTGTGCGTGATGCCATCTGAGGATGAGAGGACAGTTTAAAGATGTCAATCTGACTATAATACTATAACCTGGCAAACTGGGCTAGTTTTAAGTTCTCATATAAAATGGTTATTTGCCTTCTTAACAGTTCCCATTAATCAGAAGACATGATGATTTACATGAAGTGCCGACAGTGAAGCACTTCATGAAGTGGACTGAGTCCACTCACTCAGTGTATATTATTTTCTAGTGAGTGAGTTCTAGGCCAGCTGGAGCTACAGGGAGACCCTATCTCAAAAAGACCAAACAAACAAACAAACAAACCACAGATACAAAGTTTTATAAACTATCTAGACCTCTTTAGGAAAGATAAAAATTACTCCATTAAGTATAAGCACCCCAATAATGTAACAGCACCAACACCGAGGTCTCCATCACATCTACTTCTATGTGCCTGTTTTTCTCCAGCTCTTTTCCTCTAGTCCTAGAGCACACACACTCTGGCTGTTTCAAACTTACTGACTATATTCAATGGGAAAGAAGAAAACTCGGAAAATGATGGTCTTTAAAAAAACAACAACAACCAAAAAACCCCAACCAACCAAAATGAAGAGAGTGTATACTTTATGTGTGTTTTGCCTGCATGTAAGTGCACCCATGTTGTCCAATGCCAAGAGAGGCCAGAAGAGGGTGTTGGATTCCCCCAAATTGGAGTTATAGATGGTTGTTAGCCCCCATGTGGCTGCTGGAAACAGAACCTGGGTCCTCTGCAAGAGCAGCCAGTGCTCTTAACCACCGAGCCTGCTCTCTATCCGCTCCCCACCCCCCATCCTATATTTTAATTTTCTGGTGGAACAGGTGAATTTGGAACATGTGACCTCTAGCTATTATATTGCATATTCTTTCAAGGATCACAAGAATTAGAGATAAAAATGTATAAAGCTGGTCTCTGATTTTCTTTAAAAAATCTTTGACAATTTCATACAAGAATATTGTCCTTGCATTATTTCTATCCCTCTCAGAACTCCAACTCCTTCCACATCCCCCAACTCCACCCCCCCCCGCCCCACACACGAGTGCGCACGCAAGACGGACTGAGGTTATTTAGGGGTGCTTCTGGGTAGCTGTGTTTCTGGTTAATTCAGGGATTAGATAAGGGCCCAGGAAGCTAGTTTCTGGAGAAAACGGATTCTCCCTACATGGGCATCAATTGATTGTCTGTAGTTCTTCACTTTGAGGTGGGACCTGGTGACATTTCCCCCACCCACCCTGACATGTCAACTAGTTTTGTCATTATGCAGATCTCATTAGACTAGCATACTGTGGAGATGTCACTGATAATGCTACTTAAACATTTCCAAAGGTCATGAGACAGGGACCTCCTAAAGTATTTAAAGTCTATTAAATTTAGAGTTGAAACTGAAGCATATCAAAAAACAATTCAGTGTCTTACCACAATCATTTCTGAAGGTTCTAATACAAGACAATCACATCCTCTTTTTCCTCCAAACTGCTTACCAAAACTATAAAACAGAAAAACAGTTTCTTTAGCATAAGTTGTAATGTTATTTCAATATAGGAAAAAAACAAGCCCCCCTGACATTAATCAAGAAATTCTGATCTTCTTACTAAAAAAAGAAAAACCCAGAAGATATTTTCTCCTAATTGATGAAATATAACAAATTTCAAGAAAGTTCTGTATGAAAATTTTTAATTTCTGCTCTTAATTACTTCCCGTAATTGGTTATTAAAGAGACTACTTGCCTAACCTCAAATTGTGAACACTTACCCAGATTGAATTAAAGGCAAAACTCACTTATTAAAAAGTGGCATTTTAATTATGTAACATTTTAGAAAGGTAACTATTGCATTAGACAACACATATAAAAATACTGAAATATATTCACTTTTAAGAAATACAGTTAAACACCAAGATTATCTTTTTTTTCTTTTTTAAAAAGTATTGCAAGTAATTAGCTGTCTCTGGAAAAAAACTATAGCCAGAACAATACTAAAAGACAAGTACTTTGTAGGCTTGCTCTGAGAAAAGACTTCCAAATAAACCAAAACCACAAAGCAATTATCAAATAGAACCTAAGCTTTTAAAACACTTTTCTTTTTTTTTCGAGACAGGTCTCCCTGAAGCCCCAGCTGGCATGAACTCCCTATGCAGAACAGGCTGGCCTCAATCTCAGATATTTGCCAGCCTCTGCCACTCAAATGCCAGGATTAAAAGTGCATACTACCACACTGTGTGTGTGTGTGTGTGTGTGTGTGTGTATGACGTCGATGTAATTTTTTTTAAAAGAGAAAAATGAGAAAGAACTTGTCAATCACATAAAACATAATTAACAATATGCAGAGCATAAACTTAAATTTAACCTAAAACATTATATTTCAAAGTTTAGTACAATGATCAATTATAAAAATTTGTAAGTAAAATACTGCTTCTAAATTAACTAATTGGGGAACTAACAATGCAATAAAATATAAAGTCATCTAAAATAAACAATACAAAAGTCATTTATAAAAAAAATCATACAATTTTATTGATGAACTGGAAAACAGGGCTTAAAAAGCAACATGTAGCATTTACTTTTATGAGAAAGCTCAAAATTATAATAAAAAAAAATCCCCCCCACACGATTTGTTACAAATTTAAAACAAGTGTTGTGGTTGAAAACGCCACAGAAGAGGGGTATGATCCTCAGGAAAGCAGCTAAGATAACCCCATAACAGCTTCATTCGACCACTTCCAGGCACTCTCTACCGACGCTTTACAAAAAGCAGCTACTGAATCCAACTGCTGGGGGATTCCCATTGAATATAGTCAGTAAGTTTGAAAAGCCAGAGTGTGTGTGCTCTAGGACTAGAGGAAAAGAGCTGGGGGAAAAAATGCTTCAACGTTTCAAATTTGCAGAGTAGAGCACCAGCAATGGCATGGAGAAATGTGAACGGGGAAGGGAGAGGGAGTGGAAGAAGAAGAAGAAGGGCAAGAGCCCCTAAGTAAGTACTTGGGAGAGCTTCGGAACTATCCGGAGTACCGCACTGTGGCTACGTGAGAAAAAACAGAGCCAAAGGGAGAAAATCATGTTAACACATGGGGCACTTGGTAGGGTCCTCCAAAATGTATTTCTTTAGTGATAACACCACAGTCCTGAAGTAGAGCCAGACTTGATCACACAACTGGAAAGATAAAGTTTAAAATAATATCTATTTTAGAGAACAAAATTTGTTTTAAATAGCTAGACTGTACAGCATGAGAACAATGTCTATTATTATCTAAAGAAACAGAACAGAAGATGGAATCATTTATGTAAAATTCACTGTCTGGTATCCAATTAATAAAACAATGGCCATTTTCTCCAAATTGTACAAATTCAATGCAATTAAAATAAAATTCCACAAAGTTGATGTGAAAGACTGATATAGTAAGTGTAAAGAACCCAAAATAACTAAAACAATTTGGAAAATAAAACCACAATATCTGTATTATCAAACTGAGTAACAGTATTCAAGATAATGTAGCATTGGATTAACTTGACACATCAATGAAACAGGGCAAGAACAAAGGGTCCCCACACATGGATGCTCTAATTGCTGCTCTTGACAAAAGTAACAGGGTATTCAATGGGAAAAGATAATCTTTGTTAAACAGTGCCAGAATAACCAGCTAATTAATGAAGGAGGAGAGGGCAAGCAAGATGGCTGAGCAGGTAAAGGTGTTTGCCATCAAGCCTGGCAGCCAGAGTTTGATTCTCAGGACCTACATGGTGGAGGGAGAAAACTGATTCCTTCAAGTTGTCCTCTGGCCTCCACACGTGTACTGTGGCATGTGGGCACACACATGAAATAAATGTAGTAAAAATGATACAGAAGGGAAAGGGGGAGTGGGATCAATAAAACACTGTAAGCAAAAATTGGGAATGGTCAGAGTAAGTGAAAAGATTAAAACTATACTTTTCTGTGCTTAAATTATCAGGCGATGTGCATATCACTTTACTAATACAGTGTCCTATTAATTGATTTACAGATGCACAACCAACCTTGTATTCTTGGAAGATTCTTAAGCTGGCAATGGAATATTTTAAATACCTCCCTGGACACAGTTCATTCACTATCACTGTGTTAACAATTTTTACACGTATGTTCTTGAGAACACCAATCTGGACTTCTGACTTCAATGCCCATGTCTGGCCTCATAGCAGTCAGCTAAAAGTTCTGTCTCCTGCTTTACAGTAGCCCACTCAGGACATGAAGCTTCTTTGTGTTTGAAGACACTCAGCAGCGAAACCTCTGAGCCTACAGAAACTCTATGTCTCATGCTTCTTATGTGTGCTGTAACCTCTGCTTTCTGCTCAGCTCACTCACTGGTGGTAAATTCTCCGAAGGCAGTGGTCATTCCAGTGCCCCTGTGCCATATTTTCTTTCTGTTGAGGACCTCACAACCTAGTGTAGGTGTTGATAAGCATTTATAGCATCAACCCAGATACAGATGGAGGTGACTGTGGAGAGGCTGAGCACGGAGTGCATATAGGCAGGAAGAGGAAGTCAGAAGGCCAGAGAACTCCAAATTGGATTTGAAAAGGAAGGACTAAGAGATTTTATTGTCCTACATTTACATTTAAAGATGTTAAAAATAGGATGTGGGGAGATGGCTCAGTCAGTAAAGCCTTGTAATCATGAAAACCTAGGTTTAGTCCCCAGCACCCACATTTAAAAAAAAGTCCTATGCAAGCTTAAGCCAGACAAAATCCCAGCATAGACCCAGAGAAGTGGGCTTAATCCAACCTAAGGAACTTCTGGCAATTAACGTCTGCTGGGAGGGGAAAACAGTGTCTTACAGGCATGGGACTCTTTGGTGGGCCCAGTGAATGGATACATACTGAAAGACACTGGGGGACTCTATAGGCCATATTATATTTATGAGAGTTCATTAAATTGGGCTGGGGGTAGTGGGGGGAGAAGGGAGTAGATCCAAATGCCATCAAACTATATTGTATGAAAATCACAAAAATTCAATTAAAAAAAAAAAAAAGCCTAGAGTCTGGACTGATGGAACACACCCTTAATCCCAGCACTCCGGAGGCAGAGGCAATGGATCTCTGTGAGATCAAAGCCAGCTGGGGCTACATAGTGAGTTCCAGGCCAGCTGGGGCTACAGGAAGACAGTGTCTCAAAGATGGGGAGGGGTAGTCAGGCATGGTGACCCACATCTGCATTCCCAGCACTGGAAAAGCAAACACAGTAGACTTCCAGGGCTAACTGGCCAGTGAGCCTAGCCTACTTGGTGAGCTCCAGGCCTAAGAGAGACCCCGTCTCATAAAAACTCAAGATGGATAGTGGCCTGCAGAATAACACTGGAAATTGTCCCCTAGCTTGTACATTCATATGCACACATGTACATGTGCCCTTGGACACACAAATGCCCCTGTATGTACACACACACACAGATGCCCAACAGGAGCTTCTCTTTAGCTTGAACTAATGGCATTAAAAGGTTATGTCCTGACTTTATACAGGCATTGACCTTGCATATGGAATAATATGTCTGGATCATGTCTTCTGTATTCCTCTTTTACTATCATTATTTATGGTATACTACACAATTTTTGTTGTTGTTTAGGCTATCATTTAATTCCTTTGTTGGTTTGCCTTTCAATAGTAGGCAATAAGGCCGGGTGTGGTGGCGCATGCCTTTAATCCAGCACTTGGAGAGGCAGAGGCAGGCAATCTCTGTGTGTTTGAGGCTAGCCTGGTCTACATAGCAAGTTCCAGGCCAGCTAGGGATGCAGGGAGACCCTGTCTCAAAAAGACAAAAAAAAAAAAAAAAAGGTCGGCAATGCCTTTTATAAGCACTCTACCACTAAACAGCAGTCCCAGACGCCCTGTGTTGATCTTTTAAAACTTTTTCTCAGTATTTACTACAAGGATTTCAGTACGTATCAGAAACCAGGCAAGGATTTTTACTGCAGGCAGCTGACATTACTCAAGCATCAATACACAACAATACATAATATAGTATAGTACCAGTATCTATGAATATGGCAGTCCAAGATGGTGCAATACAACAATTTAAAAAAAATGATATGCTATAAATGACCCGTGGTAAAGCATGGGTAAACCTCATAGACATGCTAAGTGAAAACACCTAAGTACAAAAACTATGTAACATTATTTCATTTTTTAAAAATTTATTATTTTTATTTTATGTGTATGTATGTATTGCCTGCATGTAGGTAAGTGCACCCATGTCATGCAATGCCCAAGAAGGACAGAAGAAGCTGTCGGATCCCCTGAAACTGGAGTTATTGACAGTTGTTAGCTGCCATGTGGGTGCTGGGATTCAAACCTGGGTCTTCTGCTAGAACAGTCAGTGTTCTTAACTGCTGAGCCATCTCTTCAGCCCCAACATTATTTCATTTCTATAAATTAGTAGGAAATGTAAACTAATCTGTATGTCAAAAGAAAAAAACATGGCTGTTGAATTAAAATTTAGGAAGTTTTCTTCGTTTCCTTTTCT